CACTAGAGACCTTTCTGATTCACCCTGCCTCTCTATTTCCAAGCCCTCTTCTCTGGGTTCAAGGGATGCTTAGAAAGAGAATCCCACTTTGAAAGACTGCCCTGCCAATACCCACAGCGTAAGGCTTGAGCTCAGGTTCTTCCTTGGGGTCTGCTCCCCAGAGCACCTCCTTCCTCCCAGACATTCTTGCCCTCCACCTCTAATCCTTTCCCAGGCTCCCTCCCTCAGCGCCCAAACCTCTTTTCTGCTTCCTGTGCATTGATGTTTAAGCTATTTAAGTGGAAACAGATGCATTTGAAGGATGTGGTGGAACCAGGGTTTTGAAATGCAACAAATAAGATTGTACAAGGGAAGGAGATAGGTCATCAGCGGTTGCTTTCACCACTTGGAGAGGCGCGTGGAGTGGTCGGCAGGCTCTGCTCTCTGTGAGGTCAAGAGCAATAATCATTCTTCACTAAAGGCAGCCATGGCCATGGAGGATCTTACCAATGTTAGGCTAGAAGCAGCAGTTAGTGAGGATGCCTTTGGCTGGACGCACAGGGGCTTGGAGAGAGGTTTGAGTTTAGGCAGTTTCTCCACATCAAGGTCATGATCTCCTGTGTCGCTCGATAAAAATGCATGGCATCTGCTCAGGATGCTTTTGGCCACAGTTCACAAAGACCTCAATCCAAAGGGGCTTCAACAATAAGAACTGGAATATCGTTCATGTAAGCGGAAGTTCATGTAACCGGAAGTGCAGTGGTAAGACAGCTTCCAGGCTTGGTTGAGTTGGTGGCCTAGTGACACTGTCATCAGAGACGCAGCTTCCTACTGTCTGTCCACCCTGCGGTCCACCTTGGCGGCTCTGTCCTAAGACTGGCTCACCTTGCGGTCGCGAGTCCGGGCCACGTGCTTCCTGTCCAGCAGGGGAGAGCATCTCTTCTGTTGCCATGGAAAGCAAGTCCTTTCATTCCGTCTGGGTGGTTTCCCCGGGACAGTCCCCAAGGTGATGCCGAGAACAAACAGAACCAGACCAAACAGTGACCCCTCCCCACCCTTGCCCTGGAACCGGGGTGGGACCCAAAAAAGCCTGGTGACCTGGAGGGAAGTGGGAGGAAAGAGGGGATCAATGTTGACGGGCACCCAAGAAAAGCCCAGCCAGATACAGGCTCCTGAGGTTCTCAGGGGCCACACAAAGTGAGACCCACTCAGTAGGGAGGAATGCAAGCCCAGGCTCTGCAGGGACTTGAAGTGACAGACTGACCCTCACTCCGAACTGAGCCCAGTGATTATTTCCCCTCTTAAAAATGCAGAGTCAGCCTGATTTGATCAAGTTGGGAATTAATCAACATAACCCTTTTCTGAGGGGGGCATGGCAACCCACTCCAGTATTCTTGCCTGGAGAATCCCGTGGACAGAGGAGCCTGGCGGGCTACAGTCCACAGGGTCTCAAAGAGTCAGACACGACCAAAGCAACTTGGCTTGCATGCACACAACCCTTTTCTAAAATGACTGAACTAAAGTGAAACAAAGTATAAAATGTGAACGTGTTCCCTAGACCAGCCCAATAGCCTCAGTTCTGGCCCCAGCAAGTAACGGAAAAGGACGATTCTGAGAAGAGGATGTGGTCCAGTCCCTGCAGGCAGCTGTGGGAGGCTGCTGCAAGGAGGGAGTCCTACAGCCCGAACCCCGGGATGCTGCAGTTGCCACTGAGAACCCAGCATCCAGAACAAACAGGGACTTTTTTTTTTTTTTTGAGAAGCAGCTGTGAGGCAGTGGAAATGACGCAAACTTGAAGTGAAAATATCTGGAGGCTTGATGGCATACCACTCTTCAGTTGTATGACCTTGAATTTCCTCCATCCTCCCTTTCCTTATTGTGAAACAGAATAATTAGCGTAACTCAGACTTGGATGCAATATGAGAGGTGGGAACGACCTTGTGGAGGACAGAAAAACGTGGGGACATCAGTCATTGCTCTGCGTGTCTCCTCCCGGGGCCTGGCCTTCCTCCCCACTCCTCCTTCCACCTTCCTGACACCCTCTCCTTTCAGGTCTAGCCCACGCCCTGGCTCCCAGGACGGCTCTGCTTGCCCCTCCGCAGGTGTCACCTGCTCTCCCCATCTGTTACTTACACAGACTGCCTGCTGCCTGCCTCTGTCCTGCTTGCCAAACACAGTTACTTACTCTCCTGTTTCTGATGGTCTCCCCAACTCATCTGCGAATAAAGAACCGTGTCTCTCACCTCTTTGTTGCTCCGCATGTAGGAGTGAAACAAGCCTTGAATCACCTCTTCCTTGAGTGATAACTGAGAGGTGAAATGATCTGCCAAAGTTGCTCAACTCAGACAGTTAGGTCAGCACTAGAAGCCAGGTCCCTGGATGCCCAGTGGCACTCTCAATGGGGTGAAGGTGCAACCCTGACTTTGCAAAGCATACAACTCTTCCCAGGGTGATTCGTCGAAATGTGTGATCATGACAAGCGTCTCTGATGGTGGGTCAGTCAGTCAGTTCAGTTGCTCAGTTGTGTCCGACTCTATGCGACCCCATGAGCTGCAGCATGCCAGGCCTCCCTGTCCATCATCAACTCCCGGAGCTTACCCAAACTCATGTCCATTGAGTTGGTGATGCCATCTCATCCTCTGTCATCTTTGATGACACAGTCCCCTTTTCTTGATCACCATCTCATCTTCTATCGTCCCTTTCTCCTCCTGCCTTCAGTCTTTCCCAGCATCAGGGTCTTTCCAAATGAGTCAGCTCTTCGCATCAGGTGGCCAAAGTATTGGAGTTTCAGCTTCAACATCAGACCTTCCAATGAACACCCAGGACTGATCTCCTTTAGGATGGACTGGTTGCATCTCCTTGCAGTCCAAGGGACGCTCAAGAGTCTTCTCCAACACCACAGTTCAAAAGCATCAATTCTTCGGCACTCAGCTTTCTTTATAGTCCAACTCTCACATCCATACATGACTACTGGAAAAACCATAGCCTTGACTAGACGGACCTTTGTTGGCAAAGCAATGTCTCTGCTTTTTAATATTCTGTCTAGGTTGGTCATAAGTGTCTTTTAATTTCATGGCTGCCTGGTAAAGGCTTGAAGGCAGAATAAAGGTTGGGAGCCACTGGGGCAGAGGGCTTTGGGTCCAGGTTGGTCTAGGTTCGATTCTGTCACTGCCCGCACTATCTGGCCCTGGGCAACCTTGGTCCATGGAAGTCAGGAAGTGCTTCTTCAGCTCACGTGTGTTAGATGCACTTAGCAGAGGTCAGGGTAGATGTGTTTGGGCTGCATTACAGCCTATTGGGCAGTGTTCCCAAGGGAGGATGAGGAGTTTTATCCCCTCTGAGCCCCTTGGGAGTTCTGATGGATGTGTGATGCAGTGCGGGGACAGCAGCCCTCAGGCATCTGCAGGAAGTGGGTGTTGCCTCTTGTCTCTCTAGCACCTTCTCCTGGATTCCGTCCATTGGCCAATCAATGTGGATAGCTAGGAATGCCCCCCATCATCAAGTTCCAGCCTCCCCCAGGAATATCTGGGGAGAGACTTTCAACCAGGTCAGAGTGTCCAGGAGTTGTCCTGGGGTAATGAAATGTACCGAGGGCAAACACTAAACATGAGCTTTGAAACAGTGTAACCTCCGCGCCCCTCCAGGACTGCACAGACTTCCCAATCTCTGAGTCACTCCTGCCGCTGGGCAGAGCCACCTTGACCCCTGGCCAGCACTTCCAACAGCCACAGAGAGCGGAGGGGCAGGAGGAGCCCCCTGGAGGGCAGGCAGCTGCTTGGGGGTTCTGCTGGGGGTTAGTACCTGCCTCAGTGTGAGGGTTGTTCTGTGGGCAGCCCACCCACTGTGCCAGCATTTCAAGCTCTAGATCTGGTTATCATTTCCTATTTCCTGGGCACTGGGCAGGTCCCCAGTATTGCTGCATGTTATATAACTTTGAATCTGTCAAATAAGAGAAATCTCAGTCCCCAGTGGAGGCAAAGGTAGAAGATTCCACTCCTGTATGAGGGAGCTTTGCTTCCTTAAGGCTTGACAAGCAGGTGGGTAAAGGAAAGATGCCCTTTCCTCCAGGTGGAACTAAGCCCTACCCCAGGGCACATAGCCAGGCAAGTGGAGCACAAATCGCATTTTGGTCCTTATCTGGGCATCTTTGCACAGTGCACAAACCACATAGCTGAACACGGGAGTCCTAGCCACAGGTATGTATTGCGTGCTCCCCGTGAGCAGACGCTGCAGGAGCGGGACAAGACAAAATCCCTGTGCTTATGGAGACTGTACACTAATGGGAGAGACTGACCAAAACAGGCCAGGCAAGGACGGAAACAGTACAGAGTGAAAGCCATGCTCTAAAGCAAAGTGCAGGATGAGGCGGTAGGAAGGGACAGACTTGGAGGAGGGACTTAACTGAGAGCCTGTGGAGGTGGAGGTGGGTGGTTTTGGCGGGAAGAGTTGGGGGCCAGAAGCCAGACCCAGAAAGAGTTCAGCCTGTTTGACAAGCAGGTTGCTCAGTGGCTAGAGAGGGGTTTGGGGGTAATGTCAGAAAGGTGAACACAGCCAGGCTGGGGAAGCACTTATGGTCACTGCAGGGAATTTAGATTTGGTTCTAAGTGTGGTGGGACCACATTCATTTCATTTCTGAAGGGGAAGGGGAGAAGGAATAAGAGAGGAAGGCAAGGAGAAGAGAAACAAAGGCAGGTGTACAGATGAGAGCGATGGGGGGAGTGTAGCCACGACAGGCCTGGGGAACGCCTGTGGACACAGCAGTAGGGTGCCCGGGCCACGGATGCCCAGGGGCTGGATTGACAGGGCTGACATTCTCGGCGGGCCCCAGTGTGATTCATGATGGTAGAGATTCTGCTGCACTTGGCGATGATATTTTGCCTACCCAGGTCATGTTTCTTGGAGCAGAAAGGAACTCCTTCCTCTGCCTCCCCTGAAAGCTCAGGTCATCTCTTCTCCCTTCTGTGGGTGGAAACAGGCAGGAGGACCTCTTGTGGACTAATCGGAGTGATTTGTGTTTGCAGTTTAACGTCAAAAAGTCCACAGAGCCCGTCCAGCCCCGAGCCCTCCTGAAGTTCCCAGACATCTATGGACCCAGGCCAGCCGTGACGGCCCCGGAGGTCATCAACTATGCCGACTACACGCTGAAGACCACGGCAGAGCCCGCTGCACCGGCCAGCCCCCAGGCCCCAAATGACAGCCGCCTCAAGAGGCAGGTCACGGAGGAGCTGTTCGTCCTTCCCCAGAATGGTAGGGCTCTCCTGCCCCTCACCCTTCTGTGGACAATACCCAGCAGGGTTTGAAAGCATCTCTAGCTGGTGGGCGTGGCCAGCCCGTGTCCACGGCATGGGACACTGGTCAAGCAGTGGGCACCAGGCTTTGGAATTACACTCCATTATTCCCCGCGTGTTCCCACATCGTGTCTTCCCGAGGCCTCCAGCTTTCCACTGGGAAATGGAGAGTCCCTTCCAAGCTGTGTCTACAACTATAGAGAGGGGAGAAAGAGTTGTGGTTAAACTATGGGCTTCATTCTGAGTCATGGGTTTCATTCTCTCTGCTTTTATGTACGCATTGTGTGACCCTGGTCATATCGATCATCTCTCTGGGCCTCAGTTTCCCTGGGTATAAAATAAGATGACACGATCACCTGCCCAGTGTAAAATGTAAATATAACAATGCATATGAAGTGTTTAGATAAGAGCCTGGCACAAGGATCTAATCAAAGCATCGTTATTATTATTATTTCTATTCTCTTTCTCATCAACATCAAGAATAGAACACCTTTTCATGTAAGGCACTTTGCTGGGCCCTGGGGGGAGATATGGAAACAGAGACAGTCCCTAACCCAAAGGAGCAGAGCTCACAGACTTTTATAAGGAGACAAAAAAAAATCGAGCCAGGAGAATGGATTGTTATATGGTTTGGGGTTTTGTTCTGTGTGGTTAGAGAGGGAGATGGTGGGCACAGAGCAGCATAACCGGCTCTGACGCTGACCCGACTGCTAAGGCAGCTCTTGGTCGGGGGCCAGCACCCACGTGCCGGCCAGTGGACAGGTGGCCCCTCCTCCGACCTGGCCCAGGACCACAGTGATTGCCCCCGCATTTCTTCAAGAACAAATTCAGGTGGAACCTGAGGCAGGAAGGAATCCTGGTTGGCTTTTAGCCTCCAGGTTTGCCAGCCCACATTTTAAATTAAAATAGACCCACTGAGGACTTGAGAGCTAAGCTGAGCTCTCAAAGTGGGTGGGGAACAATTTGCAGGAGGACCCTCGGGAGTGGTTATCAGAATCAGACTCACAGGATGGCTCCGTTGTCTTGGGAGCCCCAGGGTTCCTGCCTGGAGAGTCCCATGGACAGGGGACCTGGCGGGCTGCAGTCCATGGGCTCGCAAAGAGTCGGATGTGCTGAGCGACACACAAACCAGATTTCTCAAAACTGGGATGAAGCCAGGCGTGGGCACTGCCCGCCGAGGACAGCAGCCGAGCTCTTCAGAGTCTGAAACTAAAGGATTCAGAGCACATTTGTCTTCCCTTTCCGGTTCCTCATTCCTTTCTCCACTGCAGAAGGCAACAACCAAGTTCTGACTCCACTGATTCCAATCAGTAGAATTCCGATTCCAATTCTGATTCCAATCTAGCAAGAGCCAGTTGGCTCAGCAAGTACCGACCAGAAGCGAGGCGGTGCAAGGGAGGAGAATGCTGGATCAGTCCAGCGTTCACTGGATCATGCCCTGCATTCACTGGATCATGTCCCCATGATGTGCCGAGATCAGTCCGCTCCCACAAGCAAAGATCCTCACTGGCCCTTTGTCGGGCTCAGGGTCCTGATTCTTGAAGTTGCACCCACTCCCGCATTTCCCAGGGTGCTGGCTTTGGTTTGGTCTTGGTTTGGTTTGGATTTTGAAGGCTGAGGCAGTCTGAGAGCTGACAGCTCAGGGTGCCAGGCAAGCCCCATCTGGCACTGACCCCGCTGCAGTTGTCTAAGCCACCTGGGTCTCGAGTGCTTGTATGTCTGGCTTTCCACTTGGCTGTTCACATCCTGGTCAATCTATTCCTTGCTTAGACACACCAGGGAGATTCTTCACTACTTGCAGGAACCCGATAATGAGCCATTTTGGAAATTAAATACTCCTCTGTGTTTCTACCCTTTAAATGAATTCTGAAAATTAAAAAAAAAATTAATTTCAATTTATTTCAAGTGAAGTTTGCTGCTGAATCCTTTTATTCTTGAATTATGCCTGACTGATGAGAATCTTCCAGATGTTTGGCTGCAGTCCAAGTGAGGGGAAGAGTGAGTGATAACTGTAGTTTTAGTAACTGAATTAAAGATAAGGTCATTCATTTATTCAGCAAGGAATCACTGAACACGCAGTAAAGTCCACTCTACTCTCCCTAACCTTGACTCATTGCTTGACATTTATTTTCAGCCATGAACTGCTGGGGAGCATGGATTAGACTCTGTAAAGAGTTAGAGCTGGAGATGGGCTGGGGGAAAGTTTGCCTGACACAGGGTGACTAGAGCCACGTACGAGGTGACAGTTTCCCCTGCTGAAAACTCACCAGGGGTCAGGCCCTGGGCTAAGTGCTTTTCTCACTTTATTTCTTTTAATGCTCACAGTACTTCCAGGAAGAATGCCACTCCCATTCTAAAGATGAGGAAACTGAGGTTCGAAGAAGTCAAGTAACTTGTCCAGGGTCACATAACTGTTATGTAGCAGCTCAGGTCTGACCCCAGAGCCCAGGTCTTGCCCACTGGGCTGTGAGGGTCTCTTGAAAGGTGATGCCCAGGACCACAGGGGGTGCCACCATGCTTTTGCACCCAGTTAAGAAGCTTTTGGTTTGGGTTCGTGGCCTAGCTGGCAGAGATGGAAAAGTCATGGGCTGGAAAACAGGATCCCAGTGCAGGTAGCAGTAATGACTGTACCTTCTTGACAGGTGTGGTGGAGGATGTCTGTGTCATGGAGACCTGGAACCCAGAGAAGGCCGCCAGTTGGAATCAGGCTCCCAAACTTCACTACTGTCTGGACTATGACAGGCAGAAGGCTGAACTATTTGTGACTCGTCTGGAAGGTATGCCCTTAGCTGACTTTCACAGCCTTCTGTGTGTCTGCCTGCCTGAGCATCTGTGGTTGGGGGAACACTGGGGGCTAGATGAGCACTCTGCAACAAACGACCCTGAGACGTGTGATCCTCAGATACACGGGGGTTTTTCCTCTCTCTCGTATACCAGTCCAAACTGGGGATTCCTGCTTGGCGGCCATCCTTCCTCCAAATAGTGATTCAGGGACCAGACCCCTCCTCTCTGAGGCCTCCTTGTGGCCTGTGCGTAGCAGGTGGAAAGATGGGGAGAATAGGGAGAGGGCACAACTGTCCCTTAGAAACTGTGACCTACACATGCTTACTTCCCATTGGCTGAAACTAAGTCGCAGGACCACTGACTGTAAAGAAGGCTGGGAAATGTGGCTTACCAGGTCCCCAGTTAAAAGAATGGGGTTTTTTTTGTTTTGGTGAATGGTAATCATCTCTGTTATAGATGTTTTTAACATTGAACAGGGCTTTGTGCTGGACACAGAGGGTGTTCTGAATGGTCAGCAAAGCTTCTGTAGTCCTAGAACCAAGCAGTCTTTCCTATGGGATCAGATTGTCCCTGGTCTCCCTACTCTGATAATTCATTTTACCATCGGCAAACAAAGTTAAGACTTTGCAAAGGACGTGGGGCTAAAGATGGGCTCCTCTGTGTTGCCTGGAAACGAGAAGCTGGGAAGGAAAAGCTGGAGTTTTGTGTTTAATTTTGCTTTCTTGAGGGAGTATTTATCCTTTTAGCTTTCTTTTATGATTTTTTTTTTTTTTTTAGTGTTTCATAGACTTCCTTACATTTGGTCTTAACAATAGTCCCATTTTACAGGTTTGAAAACTAAAGTCTAGCAACATCAAGTGACTTGTCTAAGATCACTCCGGCTATTTGGTGCCAGAGTTGGGACGAGGCCAGTTCCCCTGAAGCTCAGTTCAGGTTTCTTTCTTTTAGGACACATGGCCTCCGTTCTTTATCTTCTCCTTCTGAGTAACACGAGATACCACTTTGCACATTGTCATTGAGGAACCCGTCATGAAAGCTCCCCAGGTGCAAACTGGAAAGGTCCAGTGGGAAAGCATTAAGAACACCGAGGTTCAGAACATAAAGCAACACTCATGAGGTTGTGGCCCAGCAATTCACATCATAAGTGGTTATGTGATAAATATTTAAAATAGAGAACAAATGAATTACGGTATCCACAGCAACCCTAATAAAAATCATCAGCAATTTGTGGGCCCTGGCGCCTTGGGGAGGTCTCGGAATAATGAGAAGGATCTCCTATTTCCAAACGACTTCCTAAAAGGTGATCTCACAAAGCCAGGGTGGTCAGCCAGCCCCAGTGGGGTCTCTTTCAGACCCCCAGGGTCATGGCTGCTAAGGCAGATCCTGCAGCTCACAGCAGGGCCATTCTTCTTGCCTCCCCTTGTCGCTGACGAGCCCCCCGCGTCTGTGCCGGTTTCTCCCTGGCTGCAGCTGTGACCAGCGACCACGATGGAGGCTGTGACTGCTACATCCAGGGCAGCGTGGCCAACAGCATGGGCTCCGTGGAGGCCCAGACGGCCCTCAAGAAGCGCGAGCTGCGCACCGCGTGGGAGGAAGGCCTGGCGCTCCCCCTGGCGGAGGAGGAGCTCCCTGCAGCCACCCTGACGCTGACCCTGAGGACCTGCGACCGCTTCTCGCGCCACAGCGTGGTCGGGGAGCTGCGCCTCGGCCTGGATGGGGTGTCCGTGCCCCTGGGGGCGGCCCAGTGGGGCGAGCTGAAGACTTCAGTGAAGGTAAGGTCGCCTCTCCCGGGGGTGGCAGGGCAGGACTGGGCCAGTGCTCATGAAACGAGCTTGGAGACCTTCCCAGCCTTGGGATGGGAGTCTGGGAAGGGAGGCGGGGTGTAAAAGTAAGGTGGAGTCTTGAATAGGGTGGGAGGGGGTTGGTTAGAGGAGACCAATAGCCCAGGCTTTGGGGACTCCTGGGGTCTAGTCTTGCTTCTAGCTTGCCAGGCACAGACACCTCTACCCCTGGCCTCACCATCAGGGCGCATCATGTGAGCGCCCTGACTCTGGTGCTGACGATGTTTATCCCCATTTAGAACCATTCACCTCCCTGTTGCGTCCGCTGTGTGCCAGGCACTGCAGGGGAGAGGGGCACCTCAGCTCGCAGAGAGTACAAGCCAGAGGGAGAAACCGGAACAAATGACGACGATGATGGTGGAGGCTGTGATGCTGCTGATATCTGACTTAAGACATCTAAGAGGGGCCTAACTGCAGTGCTCTGGGGCAGAGAGTTCTAGAAGGCCTGGTGTGCAGTGGCGTTTGTGCTGACCTTTGAAGGAGTGACCACTGCTGGGGGCCCAGGTTGGGTCTCCCCACCCCTCCCCAGCTACCGAAGCTGTGAGTGGAAAACAAGCATCTGCTGAGATGTCACGCTGTTCAGAGAGGTTCCTTGGAGAGCCAACCACCAATCCCCACAGGCCAGGGCAGCGAGTGGGTCAAGGAGGGTCAGGGCTGTGGGACAGTGTGTGGTTATTTAGGCCCTCATCCAAGGGCCTGCCATGATGGTGCCTTGAGGGACCCTTCTGGATGGCCAGTCTCTCAACCAGCTGGCCAGTGCCTCCTCTGGAGGCTATATAGCCTGCATAGCCTAAAATAGTTACTATCTGGCCCTTTATAGAAAAAGTTTGCCGACTCCCATGAGTAATAAAAATAGGAAGAAAAGTAGTAATTTTTGAGCACTTACCATCTATCAGTTGCTATGCTTGGAACTTTACCTAAGTTCTGGCCCTAATGAACAAATCAGGACTGATGACAGGAGTAAGCATTGATAGGCAAGAGAAGGGTGGCTTGGAGAAGCTCAGTAACCAGCGTGGGGTTGCCCAGCTGGGAGCTGGCACGTTCGGCCTTGAGGCCAGGTCAGTCTGCTTGTAAAGCCCGCGTTGTCCTGCCGCCGCCGTGGGACATAAGTGCCGGGTAGTACAGAAGCCGTGGTCAGCAGGCGCCTTTCCTGATGAGCGCCACGGGAGGAGAAAGTACGCTTTCACTCCCCACCTACTACAGTCTCTTCTTGGCCTCATTTTCCTCTCTTTCCCCGGCTCAGAAAATTGATAAACATTGACAGCCACTCTCAGCTGGAGCCAGGCTGTTCCCCAGTACGCTCTCTACTGTGCAATTTGGGACTTGTTTGGAATTACAGCCGAGGCCCCTGGGGAATGGTGCCCAACACGTGGGTTTATTCAGCTGGTAATCCAGCTTCCTCGGGAGATGGGCTCCCCCTCCAGGTCTTTGGAGTGTTTGGCGCTGCCCACAAAGGGTGGCAGTCCAACAGGTAGAAGTCTCAGGCACCTAACCTGCTTCTACCCTCTCCCCTAGAAGAAAACTTACTCATTCATTCCACAAAGGTCTTGTCCGGCTTCCACCATGTGCGGGGCAGTGTGCCCGAAGCCGAGGGCACAGGAGATGAGGACACAGTCCTGCCCTCGTGACTCCTAATCATCGCACTCATTGTAGCTGTCACTGTCCCACAAGCACACTCCCGCCTCCACTTGGACCCCTGGCCTGTTTGCCACGGATAAGCGCAATGTCAGAGGGCAGCGTGGAGTCAGAAGTCAGAGGCGGTGCTCTCTGTGTAAGTGCTAAGGGAGAGCCCCATGGTCAGGCTAGCAAGCCCTCTGCCTGACCAGCTAGAGTGGATCCTGCGGGCTGATTTGAACAAAGCGGGTGGAGCCATCAGCTGCTGTAGCCCACGTGTTTGTCTTCTCTTGGTCGGAATGGGTTAAAGGAAGCGCTGGCCATGCCCCAGTTCTCACCGGAAGATGGTCAGCCAAAAGCGGCATGTGCATCCCCAGGGACCACAGAGTGACCCACTCCAAGGACAGCTGGAGTGATTCCCCGAGAGCCCGAGAGAAAGATGGGGAGCAGGAAAAGACAGGGAGAGGATGGCCAAAGAAAGAGAGCCGAGGGGGCGGATGGCTGTGGTGTCGCCAGCTGGGCTGGTCTGGGGCTTTGGGCACCCTGCACAGAGCCGCAGAGCCCTTCACGGGCTGCCAGGTCCAGGCTCCTCTCACTTAGGCATCATGTGGCCACAGCCCAGGCCAACACCTGTGGGTGGACCTCCAAGAAGTGCTGTTGAATCGGAAGACTGGTGCCCGTCCTGGCTCAGCCAACACCCCGCTGGCCGCCTGGACAGGTGCCTGAGCTCATTTCCTTCACCGTGAAAGGACAGGTCTGTCCATCGAGGATGCTGGAGGGCCACAGGTTTAGGACTTGGGCTTCGCTATCAGACCAGACCCCCCATTCGAGTCTCAGTTTCACTACTGAACAGGCTACATAGGGCTTCCTGGTGGCTTAGACCATTAAGAATCTGCCTGCAGTGCAGGAGATGTGGGTTCATTCTGTTGGTCGGGAAGATCCCCTGGAGAAGGCTATGGCTACCCACTCCAGTATTCTTGCCTGGAGAATTCCATGGACAGGGGAGGCTGGTGGGCCACAGTCCATGGGGTCCCAAAGAGTAGGATACCACTGAGTGACTAAAACGCACCCACACACACACACTGGTTACATGAGCTCAGGCAGTGAAGGTTCACGCTCTGAGCATGCGGGACTCAGGCTTAAAACGGGAGCCAGGTCAGTATCCCTCTTACCCTTGTCGTCAAGATTAAACAGGATGTCTCACCCTTCCTTCTCACAATATGTATTACGTGTCAGCTGTGTACTGGGTGCTGGGAATAGCTTTGTGAGGATGACAGCCTCAGTGGATAGATATTATAAATGCACTTAGCACAGAGTGTGTTGTGTTAGCTGCTACCCTTAATGCCATCACCAAAGCTCCTGGCAACTCCCGGAAACATTCCATCACACGACTAGCCACTTAGGGCTAGCTGAATTGTTGCGGTCGTATTGAAGACATGTTTCCTGAATGAAAGGTGTGACCTAATCAGAGGGCTGGCCAGCTCCTCCATCCAGCTTTACTCCCCAAACCCTGTCTCCCCTTCACCCAGAAACAATGTTCCCAATTAATATTCTCAAGAAGTAGTGATTATCCTTTCTTGATAACTAATGATAATCATCAAAGCAAGGGTAAAGATGCTGTCGTGTGCACCAGGCACGGTTCTAAGCCGTTAAATAATTCCTCATTTAATGTTTACCACCCTATTGGGTGGAGATATTATGGTTGCCATCTTACAGATGAGGAAATGAAGGTTTGGGAAAGTGAAATAACTTGCCCAAGATCATGTGGCTAGTAAATGGTGAGATCGGAATTGAGACCCAGATGGTCAGATTCTAGAGTCCATACGCTTCTCTCTACCCTTAGACTGTGACCTGCCTCCTGTGGGGACTCTCGTTTATCTTTGTCCCTCATTGGATTTGTTGAAATAAATTCCAAACAAACTCTTGCAGGAGTCTCAATGGAGAGACTCTGTAAAGCCGCAGATGGGGGGATGGACATGCTGGATGCTTCTTGAAGGCATCAGCAAAACGCAGTTCCTGTGAGTGTCTGTGGTGCATTAGCTCCCATTGTATGCCTGGCCTTTGTTGACATGGTTGGTCATTCTGTAGGCCAAGCCAAGCCCTGCTCAGCATTAGTGCATCACATTGTCGACTCTCTCAGCCCTGCAGGGGCTGGAAGGGATTCTTTTTCCAAGCAGAGTAATGCCTTGCAACATCCCGCTGCTCCAGGAACCTGATCAGTCAATGCAGTGGTTTTCAAACTAGAACCCTTGGGTTCTGTGCAAAGATGCCTGAGGCGGGCACAGGTGATAAAGTGAGAGGAAGTCCTGGCCCTCTGTCCTGGCCACATCTTGAATGGCATCTCTTTGATCCATTTGGTATGTTGGGTTTGAATATGAACTGTTTGGAAAATCACGTTTGTGGTGAATGAAACAAACTCATATTGAAACACATGCTGGCATAGGATCCCTCTGTGCCCTCCTCCCTTCTGCAAGCCTGGAGAAAGCAGCCCTGATGGGTAAGTGATTTCTAGGATGCCTCCTGGATACAGCTCCAGGGCGACCCCAGCCTCAGTGATAGTGACGGGGCCAGAGGGCATCCCTAAATGAGGCTTCCCTCCTGCATCCCTTCTTCTGTTTCAGGAGCCGTCTGCGGGGACGGGAGAGGTCCTTCTCTCCATCAGCTACCTCCCGGCTGCCAACCGCCTACTAGTCGTGCTGATTAAGGCCAAGAACCTCCACTCTAACCAGTCCAAGGAGCTCCTGGGGAAGGGTGAGTGGGGTGTGAGAGGGGAGCCAGGACCCCTCTAGGTATGTGCATAGACGGAGGTGGCACCTGGGAGGCAGTGGGGACGGGTGAGCAGGGACCTGGAACGTGAGTACATTTGTAGAGTCAGCCTCAGCTGTGTCCTCCACCCCAAGCTCACAAAGCAGCTCTGAAGGACACACTCACTTCCTTAAAGTCATGTCCATTAACTCCCGGGCCAGTCCTACCCGTTAGGACCCAGGTGTCAGCTTCCTAGGGCTCCCACCTTGCAGATCCACCATGAGAAGAACAGCCTGATCCCTGGTTCACAGGAATCCTAGGATCAGACTGTAGCCAGGGAGTGGAGAATCTGGGCTGTAGGGGAAGCTTGGCCCCACCTTTGTCACCCAGACCTGGCTGGATGCATCTTCTGGGCAGGTGGTGGGTTTTCCCTTCTCCAGTCTCAGCTAGCCACCACTCTGCTCCCCACACCCACCCTAGACTCCTCTCTCTTCCCAGCCTTTGTCGACCTGCCATCCCCACACCAGCTGGGTGTGGGTGACGGCAGAAGGCATGTGGGCGCTCAGGCTGAGGAGGTGTCTCTGTCCCATATACCCAAATAAACATCTCCTCAATGCCCTGGAAGCCTTGGCTATTCCCTCAGGATACCCCAGCACAGACCCCAAGGCTTAAGGACCAAACAGCCTCTCTGGTCAGAGCAGGAAAGAAAGCAGCATTGGTCAGCCGTGAGACACCTGGACCTGGAGCCAAGTGCTCAGAGCAGGATATAAATACATTGATATTTATAGCAGGAAGCAAATAAAGAACTGCCTCTGCAGTCAGGACCTTTGGGCAAGAGATTTTTGACGAATGAAAAATCACCCAAGTTGGTCTGGCTGACAGATCCCTGAGCCAGAGGTCAGAACTCAATGCCTTTGCTTCATCCCCTCTAGACAGTTCTTTGCCTCCTGCTCTTTTTTTTTTTTTAATTGTTATAGCTCCTGTCAGGACAATTACAGCTCAACACTTTATCTCTCAAATATCTCTGTTGAAATAACAAACTAACCACCTGGGGGTGATAATTATAGCAATAAATACAGAGTAACAATTATTCTCACATTAGCTTTGGAAACCTTGACTGATGAAAACACAATCCCAGTCCAGAGCCTCAAGATGCTATATGAAAGCTTGTCTAGTAACCTGCTGCCTGATTTCCGGTGTCGGGGGTTGGGAGCCAGGCAGCTTTATTGGGGTCAAGGCAGGCTGCCCTCACCCTCCATGTGGGGTGGGAACCTCCAGTAAAACTTGCAAAAGAACAGAAGAGAAAAACTCAGTCAACCAGCAGGAGACCTGCTATCTTAGGAAGAGACAAAAATGCTTAGATGGAGAACTTGAGGGGATGAAGACATAGGGATGGCGTAATGTTCCTGGTCTGAGTTTAAAATCAAGCTGCAGGACATCTGAACCTCATGCTGGGCCTGGTTTGATATGGGACATCAAGGCATCCAGAGGGGCTCTTGAGAAAGGTTTGCTAGCAGTTCTTCAGTGTGACCCTGTCATGGGCCATGTGACCCATGTACTGTGCTCTGATCTGTTTTCCATACTCCAGGCAGGAGCTTTTGCTGTATCCCCATGTTCAGACCGACACCTGCCATAAGGTGGGCATTGAATTACTGTTGAAGAAATACATGGCCCGTGAGGTGGGGGAAGGGATGGTGGAGCAGAAGCCTCAGTGAGGATCTAGAGCCAGAGACCCTGTCTCTCCATCCCCAAGAGGCAGCATCAACCCAGCTCCCCCCACCCCAGACCCCAGAAGCTCACTCCGGGTCCCTTCCTCTGTCTCTGCCCCCATCCCTCCCCAGATGTCTCTGTCAAGGTGACCTTAAAGCACCAGGCTCGGAAGCTGAAGAAGAAGCAGACAAAACGAGCCAAGCACAAGATCAACCCCGTGTGGAACGAGATGATCATGTTCGAGCTGCCGGATGACCTGCTGCGGGCCTCCAGCGTGGAGCTGGACGTGCTGGGCCTGGGCGCCGAGGGTCAGAGCTGCATGCTCGGCCACTGCAGCCTGGGCCTGCACGCCTCGGGCTCCGAGCGCAGCCACTGGGAGGAGATGCTGAAGAACCCGCGCCGGCAGATCGCCATGTGGCATCAGCTGCACCTCTAGGCAGCCACCCAAGCCGCTGCCCTCTGGGGGCATAGTCTCCCTCCCCCACCCCACTGCCCTCTGCCCCCTCCTCTTGTGCCCCATCCGCATTCTGACACCAGAAGACAGACGTGTGTGCAGAGACCAGGACCCTCTTCCTCTCCCATCACACTCCTGTTTCTTAAGAATGAGCAAGGATAGAGACAGGACATGTGGGTCAGAAGGAACGCGTTTTGCTGATCTGTGTTATTGAAAGAGACGCTTATCAAATGCGGTCTGTGTGCAGGTTTTGCAGTGGGTGTCAGGCCAGATGCAGAGAAAGGTGAACTGGGGAAATCACGGATGCAAAGAATGTGGCTTTTTAAAAATAAGTGTATCAAAAAAGGATGACGGAAATGCTGTATCCTGGATCATCTCAAAAGAATTAGAGATGATCAGGGTGGGATGGAAACTCAGCCAGCATGAAATCGTTCTACTGACCCAAGACACTAACCCAGCAGTTCCCAAATAGTGTTTGAAGAATCACCAGCAGATTCCCGAACCCTGCTTTAGACATTCCAAATCCATCATCCTGGCTGGACCCCAGCAGCCTGCGTTTTTAACAAGCACACAGTGGTTTGGATGAAGAGGCTGGAGCACTGCACTTGGAGAAATCCCTTTCACAAAATCCCCAACTCAGTTCCACAGTCTTCGTCGGGCCCCCAACTCCCTGGGGCAGCCAGTGCCATGGCTGGACATTTCAACCACGGTGTGAAATTTAGAAGCCTCCGTTTTTAATTTTAGTCATTTGAATTCTTAATGTTCTCGTTTGTGCTTTTTTGGATCCTGCTTTTGGACTGAATTTTGTGCTTTCTATTGAATAACTGTATTGTTTCATCTCAAAATCAGTGTATATTATACTTGGGGAGCCCTTCCCTGACCAGGAGTAGGTGGGATTCCCCCATTAGTTATTGGGCATTAGTTGTCATGTCCACCAGCGTCACCAAAGTGACCCTCTGAGTCAGACTCCTTCCTTCTCAGCCTACCAGCCACGTGAGAATGAATTCCATCTGGGGCACACATTAACTTAGTCCGGGTCTGTGGAAGGGGAGGAGGCTATGAGATCTTTTCAAGTGTGCCTCTGTCGCTGTGTTTAGGATCTATCACTTTAATTAGTAAATAATCAGCAGCTAGGTTTCACATCGCTACCTGATTATTCCAAATAGCTGTCCACATCATTAATTATAATATTACAGTCCTTGCTCAAGTGGATGTAATATTTGCCTGGGTACCAGTATTTCTGGGTTCTGTTGCTGACCATCTGTAAAAGCAGCCTAATGATGTGGAAGCTTGGTCTCTGTGAATGATGCAATAGATGCAATTATGCTCCCATGCCATAGGCACCCCTCACTAGTAACAAACTCTGAGGCCACCAGCAGATCATTTTTAAGTTTCATGTTGGCAGCTGACCATCCCTGGCAAGTGCCAGACATTTCTAGAACAACGGACTCCGCCTCTGGACTTTTTAATACTGACAGCTAAACTCTGGGCCTTTAGAGGTCACCCTGGGTCCCTGATCTAGAAAAGAATTCCTTTCCTTCAGTCCTGTAACAAGTCAAGTCATTCTTGGTCTCTGCCTGAGAATTTGAGCAGAGACGTGTCATCTTTTGTCATCATTTTTCTTTCTGGACAGCAGTAGGAAAGCATTTAGAGATAACTTCTGCCGATCCCCTGAAAAAACAGAAACAATATCTCATCCCTCATTAATGAGAAGATCTTTCACATAATTGGACATTTCTCCCATTAAGTCTGGCCACCTCCTGCCAAGTTTTTTTTAGGCAAGTCATGGGTCACTGACTTCCCACAGCACATCCTTAAGAGCCCTCTCACCACCCTGGTCTCCCTTTTTTGGTTGGCATGCCAAAACAGCAAAGCATCCCCTGCGCAAGCTGACCAGTACTCAGTTCTTGGTGACAACTGCTGCTCTAATCCAGAGGAGTCTGGATCCTAGACTTAAAATCAGGAAAGGTGGGTTCCACTTCCTTCTAAGTCCATGCGCCTGCCGTACAGTCACACCAAAGGATGTTTGCAGTGAGCTCTCGGGGCCCCTGATGCCAGAATATCAGCTCCACCCACGGCCATCTGTCATGAGGCATTAATTTCTTTGGCGTCAAAGGTTTCATTTTCCAGAATCCAAATGAAAAGGGTGCCCTTAAAAGGAGTCAAATGTCTCTGCTTGACATCTTAGGTGTCAGCCTTCATCTCACTGAACAGAAATAAGACAGGTTTTGCCTGTTGTGTGCACTGGTGTATTCCAAGCACCTAGAATAGAGTTGACTCATCGACCCTTAATAAAAATGTGTTGAATGAATTAGTGAATGAAGGATGGGTAGGGGAGTAGGAAGAAGAATATACATTTTTATCTAACTTGAATGCAAATCAGAGTCCTAGTTGAGTTCTTAAAGGTAAGTTCATCAGAAACCTCAGCAGCTGGCCTAGAAATTCATAACGTTGAGTATTACCATTCACCTAATGACAACTTATAGCTCACTATGTAAATAATTGGGCTTCCCTGGTGGCTCAGATGGTAAAGAATCTGACTGCAGTGACGGAGACCAGGTTCAATCCCTGGGTCGGGAAGATCCCCTGGAGCAGGGAATGGCAATCCACTCCAGTATTCTTGACTGGAGAATCCCATGGACAGTGGAACCTGGCGGACTGCAGTCCATGGGGTTGCAAAGAGTCAGACACGGCTGAGTGATTTTCCCTTTACTTTTACTTCATGTAAATAATTAACACAGTGAGCTGTAAGGATGAGGATATATAGATGAGAACATAAAAGCTGTGTTTCCCACCAAAACACCATCTCAGTGAATTTTAAATTACCCAGAGATATCAGACTGGCAGATGAAAAAACTTCAGTAATCTTTGCATCCACTTACCTTGTACCAGATACTTTTGCAATTGACTACCAGATTAGAGTAATTGGGTCTGTGCGAATACATCTGATCTTTTCTTTAAAAGAAGCGCTTTGTCCTTTGCTAGGGAGCGTTTTCTAAGTGCATGAAGCAGAGGTGAAAATAAAGGGAGAAACCATCTCCAATTGGGCTGTTGCCCACGAGGTGACCTGGCTTTGTCACAGATACGGCGATGGGGATGGAAAACTGGGAGTCTAATCTCGTTCATCTTGCGACTCACTTCTTACATCAAGTCAGAATATGTTTGTTGAGTGCCTATCGATCAAGACCTTACACACGTCTGCACATTTCAATCTGAGATATGACTCTTGGTGTAGATTGAGTGATGAATCTCCCCCAGCCGATGCTGTGTAGAGAGAGTTAGATGGGAGAGCAGTCCTTTGGGGCAGCTCCTTTGGGATATAAAGGAGTCCTGGGCAGCAGGAGACTGCAGCCTACGCCAAACGGAGGTGAGGACCATAAAAAAAAAAGACCTAGTCCTTGTGATTTGTTTTTTGCTGCCTGTGTTTCCTGTTGTCAATGCTGTGTCTATTTTGCAGTCATGAACCGAAGCACAAAAAGACGCATGGGATATTGTACTCATATGTCTGGTGTCATACTTTGGAGCAAAAACCTTGCAGTGGTAAATAAATAAATTCTAACAGGGTCAGCTGCCTAGTGTGTGTGCGTGTGTGTGTGTGTGTGTTTAAGTTCCTGTTTCTTAATACTTTGGACATGGATTTCCCTGGTAGTCCAGTGGTTATGAATCTACTTCCTAATGACCCCACACACCACAACTACTGAAGCCTGAGCACCTAGAACCCGTGCTCCACAACAAGAGAAGTCAGCACAGTGAGAAGTCCCTGCAGAGCAATGAGAATCCACGCAACTAGAGAAAGCCTCTGCATAGCAGTGAAGAGCCAGTGCAGCCATAAGTGAACAAACAAATATTTTTTAAAAGATGAAGCATAAAAAACAAACAAAAAAAACTTTAGACATACGCAATGCAGAAAAATAATCTGATAAATACACATGAACTCCTGCCAAGTTTTATAAAACTTGACAAGTACAGTTGAAATCCCCTTAGCCTCTCATTCAGGACACCACCATCCTGAACTTGGGGTTTCTTTCTCTTTTTACTACATGTATGTGCAAACCTCATAGAGTATTTTGTGTTTTTAATTTTAAATTGTATCACATTATTTTTGCTCCACGTTAAAATTTTGAGTTTTATCCATGCAGATTTATGTAGCTCTAGCTCCTTTATTTTTTGCTGCTCTGTTATTTTCCATTGCATGGATATGCCACAATCCCATTCCCCTACTGACGTATGTTTAGATATTTCTCTCTTTTTTTTTTATGTTGGAGGAGCTGCTGCTGTGGACGTTCTCAGGCAAGGCCTCTTGGGGCTTGAACTTTATTCTTGAGATGGAAACTGTTTCTCTAACATAACCCCAAAGAAATACCCCCATCACTGAAGAGTCAGGGCAGTGGCTGAGCGCTCACCTTTGCTCCAGGTGGCGGGCAGGGACAAGGGAACTTACAGAGTCCTGTCATCTCAGGGCCTCCTCGTGGCTGCTGCAGCCCTGCCTTCAGGAGGAACAGGCTCAGGCAGTAAGCCAGGGGAAGGGCCTGAATTTTCAGGTCAGTAGGAAATCAGGTGGGTTATGTGGAATTAAAACCAAAGGCTCTGAAAAAGGATGCTGCTACTTAATCACTCGGTTGTGTCCGACTCTCTGTGGCCCCATAGACTGTAGCCTGCCAGGTTCCTCCGACCATGGAATTTTCCAGGCAAGAGTACTAAAACAGGTTGCCATTTTCTACTCCAGGGGATCTTCCTGGCCCAGGGATGGAATCCACGTCTCTTGCACCTCCGGCATTGGCAGGCATATTCTTTACCACTAGCGCCTCCTGGGAAGCCGTCTTAAAAAGGATAAATGAGCCATAAAGAAAGGCTTCACTTTCCAAGTCTGTACATGTAATTCCTTATTTTATATTTTATATATTTGTTATATTTTAATGACAGCCAGTATTTTTATTTCCATATTAAAATAGGAAAAGTGGCTCTTAACCCATGCAGCCAAA